CACTTTTCGAAATTGGAAAAGTTAACTACGGCATTAATTGTAGTGTTTCACCATTGCCATTGAATTGAGATATTGAAAAGGTTACAACGGAATTAATTGTAGCTTTCTTGTTGTAAATTTGTTGTGGAAAGAAAAAATTTGTAGCTCTCGGTTTAAAAAAAAAAATGGTACTTATGTAGTACGAACTTGACACTATACACCTTGTCGATAGAATTGAGTTATTGAAAATGTTATAACGGCATTAATTGTAGCTTTTTTATTGTTAATTTGTTGTGGAAAGAAAAAATTTGTAGCTCTCGTTTTTTAAGAAAAAATGGTATGTAGTGCTAACTTGACACCATACACCTAATCGATAGAATGGATATATCCAATATGTTACTATGCCATTAATTGTAGCTCTTAACTTTAAAAACTGTTATGAAAACAAAAAAAAAAATGTAGTTTTCTTTTCACAACAAATTTTCAATAAAAAAGCTACAATAAATTCTGTTGTAGTGCTAACTTGACACCATACACCTAGTCGATATAATTGAGATATGGAAAAGCTTACAACGGAATAAATTGTAGCTTTTAACTTTAAAATTTGTTGTGGAAAGAAAAAATTTTTAGCTCTCGTTTTTTAAGAAAAAATGGTACAAATTTTTTCTTTCCATAACAAATTTACAACAAAAACACTACAATTAATGCCGTAGTTAACGGTTGCAATTTCGAAAAGTGTAGTGCTAACTTGACACACGTATTAAAATTAAGTAGGTAAAGTGAAAATTTNTTCTGTTGTAGTGCTAACTTGACACCATACACCTAGTCGATATAATTGAGATATGGAAAAGCTTACAACGGAATAAATTGTAGCTTTTAACTTTAAAATTTGTTGTGGAAAGAAAAAATTTTTAGCTCTCGTTTTTTAAGAAAAAATGGTACAAATTTTTTCTTTCCATAACAAATTTACAACAAAAACACTACAATTAATGCCGTAGTTAACGGTTGCAATTTCGAAAAGTGTAGTGCTAACTTGACACACGTATTAAAATTAAGTAGGTAAAGCGAAAATTTCAAGGCGCTAGGAAATCGCGTTCATTTTTAATAATTTTTTTGGCTGACGATGCTAAGTATTTTCTTCTATATAAAAGGCACCATCCTAAGAAAAAACGTGAGTGAATTTAATCCCTACTTGGCTTCTTATATTTTTTAATAACTAGTCTTTATATATGGAGCACATTAAAAGCTCTTTTTCATATAAAAATGTGTACGTGTCCTTCCCGTGACAAACGTTGTCCCACCCGTGACAGAAGAGTTTCGGATTTTTTGTATAATAAAGCCATCATTTTTTTGTAGTTTTTGCTTTTTTTTTGTTCCTGGTTCTATGTTTTATTCTAAGACACCAAGTTGACACAGAAGAGTGAAATAAATTCGCAGTTTCCGTAAAATATATCTACTCCAAAATGCAGGTTATTTTTTTGTCCCACCCGTGACAGAAGAAATCAATCAGATTTTTCCCATATAAAGTAAGCTTGAATTTTTTTCCTATTTTGTAATAACTCTTATAATAGTCAATTAAGTAGGTGTAGGTTTATCAAAATGTAGAATTGTTCTGTACTTTATACTTACATTCAAACAAGAAAATTTTTTCTGTACAAATGTCCAACCCGTGACGGTGGAATCGCCCNTGAAAATTTCAAGGCGTTAGGAAATCGCGTTAATTTTTAATAATTTTTTGGCTGACGGTGCTAAGTATTTTATTCTATATAAAAGGCACCATCCTAAGAAAAAACGTGAGGGAATTTAATCCCTACTTGGTACTTATATTTTTAATTAACTAGTATTTATATATGGACCACATTAAAAGCTCTTTTTCATATAAAAATGTGTACGTGTCCTACCCGTGACAAACGTTGTCCCGCCCGCGACAGAGGAATTTCGGGTTTTTGGTTTAATAAAGTCATCATTTTTTTTTTTAGTTTTTGCTTTGTTTGTGTTCCTGGTTCTTTGTTTTATTACAAGACATAAAGTTGACACAGAAAAGTGAAATAAATTCGAAGAGTTTCCGTAAAATATATCTGCCCCAAAAAGCAGGTTATTTTTTTTTGTCACACCCGAGACAAAATAAATAAATCAGATTTTTCCCATATAAAAGAAAGCTTGAATTTTTTTCCTATTTTGTAATAACTCTTATAATAGTCAATTAAGTAGGTGTAGTTTTATCAAAATGTAGAATTGTTCTGTACTTAATACTTAAATTTAAACAAGAAAATTTGTGTCTGTAAAAATGTCCAACCCGTGACGGTGGAATCGCCCATATGTATGTACATGTAGCTTTTGAAAACGTGAGTGAAGTCGGGCTTTTTTAATTAATCTGTAAACCAAGGTTCCTAATATCTTAAAATCTAACAGTAGTGTATTCCTATAGGGGAATTATATATACCAGGTGAGATAATTAGAGCCATAGTGAAATAATATTATATCACTATGATTAGAGCAAGAAGAATTTTGACACTGGCATAATTAAAAATTTGTTAACAACGCAACCGAATGGCAGAATATAAATGAGAAAGCTGTTTGATAATTTTACCTGTTTATTGAGCCATGGTGTATTCTGAATTCTGAACGATTTCTTTACGAACGAATCTCCAAAGAAAATCATATGAAGTGGTTGAGATAACAAGTAAAGAATTCTCGTACGATTTCTTAAAAGGAATTTCTGAAAAAAAATCTTCATATCGCCGCATTGCTTTACCGACTTTCTTCCCTAATTTCATGAAAGAATCGAAGTGTGCACAGTGCAATTCGTCTTAGAAAATTCTACAAAAAAAATTGCAAGAGGAAATGATTTCTTCCGAATTCTTTAAGACTTCTCTGCTACTCAAATTTTTCTGAAAGAATGGTTTGCAGGGTACTTTTTAACCAACATACCTACATATGTATGTAAGAGTGAAGGTAGAAAATCGTTATCAACTCACCGTACACGCTCCGAATAGAGTTCCACCTCCTTGTTTCTCTGCTGCTGCACCAAATGCTGATCATAAACACTCAATTGCTTTAACCCGTTTAATCCATTAACGGCAGCTACACCACCCACAATCTGAGAACCCGTGGGCTGTTGCTGTGCTGCCAAAAGTGCGGCATTGCGTTGGATTGTATCGACGCAGCCGTTTAATGCACCATTTAAGATGCTTTTCGTTAAGCCATTCTGTTGCAACAAGCTCTGTTGGTATTGCTGCAGTTGCAAATGTTGTTGCTGTTGTTGCTGCTGCTGCTGCTGTTGTTGATTTATGGGCGAAATTGAAATCTCACCGCTAGATTGAGAATCAGAAGGCGATGTAGAACCACTGCCCGCCCCACTTGACGACAAACTGCCGGCCCGAGCACGCAAATCTAATCCCAATATATTATTCAAAGAGGCAACGGCCTGTTGATGTTGCTGCTGTTGAGCTTGTGGCTGTTGTTGGTTGGTGGTGGAGCTGCTGCTGTGCAGACCTGAGCCAATAACTCCAACGCTGGTATTGGTTAAGACGTTGTTGACTTGGTTGTTACTGCTACTAGAAATGAGCGAGTTGTTTGGGTTATTACCGATGGCTGCTTTACAAACAGTTGGGTTCACATTATTGGGCGTGCAAATTGCGCTGATTCCATTGCTAATATTGCTAATGCCATTCTGTTGTCCGTTAAGTAGGGAATTGGCTGACTGCTGTTGAGCAGCTTGAGAAGATTGTTGTTGGGTGGTTACTGGTGGTTGTACCATTTGAGCTTGCTGCTGTTGACCACCTGCGGCAATAAGTCCGTTTGTATTCACTGCTGCCATNGGCTGACTGCTGTTGAGCAGCTTGAGAAGATTGTTGTTGGGTGGTTACTGGTGGTTGTACCATTTGAGCTTGTTGCTGTTGACCACCTGCGGCAATAAGTCCGTTTGTATTCACTGCTGCCATGTTTGGTTTGGACAGATTATTATTACGATTTCTTTTCTTCTTTTTCTTCTTGTCATCTTCCTCAGCAGAGGTACTGCTGACCATTAGCACACGCTGTTGCACACCACCAGCTATTGGACCGCTATTTACATTGCCATATTGACCGCCGCCACCGTTAAGAGTTGCACTTGACTTGGATGCCGTGGCCTGAGTAGGTGGGGTCCACTCCAGATCCTTGCGAATATGACCATGACCACATTTGCATACACAAGCTTTATAGACTAAATCAAACCCCTTCTTTGTCCACAAATTTTGGCTGCGCTGCCGTTCGGACCACGATCGTGCCCGGCCTACGGACTTTAGTGTCGCGAGCACACACTGCTCCCATGCATCGAAGCACTCACGATGCATGTACTGCCCCATGTTGCAGTTCTCGTTATTACAAAGCACACGCACCACATCACACAGGTCGTCCAGAGAAATTAAACCGGCATCCAACTTTAAACAATCTCCATTGGGATAGCAACAACGGGTATATTGATCCTGGATATTGCCATTACTATTGCTATTCATATTATTATTTATGTTGTTAGCGTTGCTGTTATTGCTGACATGGTGTGGGTGGTGCCCATTCTGGGCGATTGAATTCGACCCCCCAGAGGCAGTCCCACTCAGCGAAGGATGTGCCAGGTTCGATGTTTGCATAGGTGGCATGCTGGTATTGTTGTTATTACTGTTGTACAAATTGTCGCTTATATTGTTGGTGATTGCGGTGCTAATGTTAGAGGAATCAAGTGATGTTGCCCTGTTGAATAGCGAGGCGTATGCAAATAGATGAGGTTGTTGTTGCCCTTGCTGCTGTTGATGTTGCACTAAAATACTGGAACTGCTGTTGGCGCTATTGCTGTCACGACGTGGCGCCATATGTATCATTTAGAGAAACATCGAAATCTGGTCCCGAATTTGGGAGATTTATGTCAGGTCTATAAAAATCACTTTGATTATTTCGAAAGTGCCTTTTACGAAATCTACTTTTTACCGCAATAAACACAGCAATGTGGTTTCCATTTTAAAATTCCAATTAAATTCTTGTAATTTTTTTATAATTCACTTTCTTCATCTACAAACTCAGTTAATGGTTAAAGTGTCGCAGTGACACAATATTTACACCGTTTGTATTAAATTTAAAAAATGGGTTTTTATTTTTAGATTTTTGGAAATATCCACAATAGCACAGTTATGAATTTCCGCAAAAGATCTATTCTGAAGTTTAGTAGATATACATATGTATTTGTCTATGTACATACTATCCTTTAGTTATATTTAGTGTCTTTGTTTTTCTATTGAAATTTGCGTATAATTAGCACACAGGCTTCAACGCGTTCAAAAAATGATTTTTCATTTTTACTAGCTTTTATTCTTTTTTTTTAACAATCGAAGCTATCGAATTTACAGTCCGCTGTATTGATGGCTCGCGCTTTCCGCTCTTTGAACTTGAATTGTATTATAAAAAGTTTATGTGTATGTATGTATTTAAATTTATTCACTGCCTGGCTCGCAAGCAACTTGAATACTATTCAAAAAGATTCCTGAGTTTTATTTAATTATTTATGTATGTAGATCACTTTTTATCTGGATATTGCTATTTTTAGTTATTTCGTCGTTCCTGCAGAAATGCCATACTTGATGAAATCACGTTGTTACTTTTTACCGAACTTCGGCTGGTTGGAAAAATTCATTCCAATCAGAATTTTCGACCCAATAGAAAAATTCAAGCATCAAAATTAATTTGCATATTTTGACATTTCCTCACATTCACTTTCGTTTGCGGTCGCCAGTACTCTTTTCTCGCCAAAATTGTTTCCGCACGCCAATTAATTACTTTAGTTCGATTTACTTCCAAAAAATGTTAGTTTTCTTGCCAAGCACCACAAAGTCTCACGAATTTCCTTTCCACTTAACTCACTGTTTATTTCTTTTACACTTTGCAGTTTTTATTATTCTTCACAGCTAACATACTATGAACAATACACTCCGCTCTAATCCTCAACACAACTTATCCAGCAGAAAGCGAAATTTTGACTATTTCCATTTGTTGGCAACTTTGTCGGTGCCAGCTTCGTTCGTTGACGATTTTGTTCAAATCATGTCTGCGCCAAGTTCGTGCGCAGCAGCGAACTTCGGCAGAGAATTTGTATAGAACTTTCCCGTTGCGTTCGCTTTCGTCTCGTTTTAACAGCAATGCGAGCAGAGATATGTATATAGAACTATAGTAGTAGAAAAGTACGCAAAGTATGTAGTTAGTAGTAAAATTGCTTTCGTAAATTCTAAGGTGTTTGCAGGAAATTTGGCATTTTAAACGAAATACATATGTATGTAGATATCTACGTGAGGTACGAGACTTATGTGCATTATTAGTGGTATAAAAACTGCAAAAGGGCTCAAAATTAAATCATCGAATTTAAAAACAATTTATGTTTTCATCAGTTAAATGTGCTTTTTATACATATATGTACAAATAAACATTTTGCACGAAAACGTATACTTCTATTTCACGCGTAAGCTACAATTTTTCAAGTAAATTTGCAAAGAAGCAGCACGGGGCCACTGTTAAGGGAGCGGTGCGAGAGAGACAACTGCCAGTTTAGCGAAACTATAATTATTGAATTGTGATATCTGCAGATGTATCGGTACTACGAGAGAATGTTAATATAAACAAACTTTATATTAACATTCTCTGATGCCAGTACATGTACAAAATGTTAAAAAATGTAACAACTTCAAGCAAAGGCTTGCTAGGTTTTCATTAACCTACCCAGCAACACGGAGAATGTTAACGTACATGTTGCTAAACATTATTTTCTGTCCACAAACAGTGCACTTAACATAATTCACTCATTTTCTCTTCTCATTCATTTAAGTTCTGTGCTGCTATTCTCTGCTGCGTCAAATTGAGCGACGACCGCGACGTGACAAAGCAGAGAACTCGTTTGGTCGTTTGTTGGATGAGTTTTCGCTGGATGTGCGAGCGAGAGAAACGATGTTTAATTTTTTTTTCGTTTACAAACGAAAGCACAAAGCGTAACCGGCAAAAATTTAACAACGAAAGAAAAAAACTGTTTGCCGGCGACGATTGTGCGCTTTCACATACACATATATAAACATAGTTATGTATGTACATATCGTCCACCGTCTTCAAAAGTCACAACTCAAAATAATACCTCTGCCAGAAAATGAGAACTACTATTTCTTTGCACATGGTAACCACTTGGGCAAGGGCGACTTTACATTGGGTTTTTTAACAAATTATAACAGATATTTGCTCCAGCTTTTGCTGAAAGGTAAATAAATGCTCTGCGCACATTTTGAGCGCATAATCTCAAAAATTACAAATTTTGAGTTGTGACTCTTGTGAAGACGGTGTGCGTAATTTTCATATACATATGCAGGAACAACAAAGTCGCATGCATACACAGAGAAAATGTATGTGTTTATTATATACATATTAGATATTATATGTGTGTATACAAACATTCATAATATTTACAGTGTACATATGTACATATGTACGTACAACGTGTTCCATATCTATATATATACAAAATGTTTGGAAATATATATTTACATACATTCATGTCATCTTCAACAAGAATCCAATAAGATTTGGCAAATACCTATTCTCCCAGTTCTCCGTAGTCGTCGTGTATATAAATATGTACATAAGTCTGTAAATAAATATGTATACATATATGTATGCTTATTTTGTTTTGCTCAGTTACTTTCGCAGGCAGCAATAACGAAGTCGACTTTGACAAAAAAAACAGCTACAGCGTAGCAGTCGACGTGAATGCTGGCGCAGACTGAATTTTTCGCTTTTATTCGCAGCAGTGTTGCGTATGCAAAAGTGACCGAGTTGCATAAAATCTTCATCAACTACATATCGTCGGTGATACTTATAGTAAAGTAGATATACGTTTGTAAAAGAGGCGTGGCCCTTCCTATTTTTAATCAGCCATAACTTCGAAATCATACGTCACATGAATTTGAAATTTGGTATGAAAACGTACCTATGGTAGGCGCTTATAGTAAGGTATATTTTAATGAGTTTGTTCAAGGGGGCGAGGCACCTCCCATAGGCGTGAAACTTTTAATCTGCAATAACTTCAGAACCGTTAGTCACACTACTTTTAAATTTGGTGTGAAGACAGATCTATGATAGATGTTTAAAGTAAAGCATCCATATATATAATAAGTTTGTAAAAGGGGGCGTGGAACATCTTACAGGCGTAAAATTTGAATCAGCTATAACTTAGGAACGATAATTCACATGAATTCAAAAATTAGTGTGAAGACATAAATAAAGTAGGCGCTTATAGCGATGTAAATATTAGTGAGTTTGCACAAGGTGGCAGGCTCATTCCATAGCCGTGAAATCTCACATCTGCGGACCCCTAACTCACATGACTTTGAAATTTGGAGAGAATATCTATGGTAAAGTATACAAATGAGTGGGGGAGGGTGTGGCGTTTATAGTAAACTGATAGAGAGTGAGTGTTTGACAGGGGTGTTGCACCTCCAATAGATGGAGTACGTTCAGAGAACCATAACCTAGGACCCATTACAAAGAACAGCTGAACGGAATGACCTGTTGTAAACTAAACAGGAATGAGAGTTTGCAAGAAGTCGTAGCACCTCATCTTCTTTAGGTACTCTAATCCACCTAACCTTAAAAATGAAATAGGATTCTTAGTAAAGAAAATGATGGCCAATATAATTGTTGAACGAATTATTACTCCGAATTACGACTCCGGATACTCTGCATCATAAAATATACGTTTGCAAAAAATTCTGCCGAAAGATAGCGCTGGAGTCGAGATATTAAAGAATCCGTCTTTACCTGGGTTAACAGGTAATCTTTGATAAGAAGTGCTTCAGCAAAAAACGTACCCAAAAAGTAGATGGTGCTGGAATCAAGATATTTAGATACAGCTCTAAAAATTTACTTTTTAGATGACTCAATAAAGCCCCATGCTTTAAGTATGAATACAAAGAAGCGCAAAAGTTTTAAGTCGCCACAGATGTCCTACGCACATCAACGGGTCATCGGTATATCAAGAAGAAGTGTGACGAATTAGAAAGAATATGATAGGAATATCAATGACCCCGTTTGAGCCGGAAAACTCTTTCTTCCTGTGGAACAGCAGGATTTAACCTTTCAACCGACGTCAATAGTGTTTGCATTACAAACCCTTTTTGCATTTCAAACCTATTTTTGTATTGGTCAACGCAAAAGTTATTATCAAGCCAAGCATTTGCTAGTCCAGAATAAATTAATAATAATTAGGTTCAAATTAAGGGTTAATGATTAAAAATTAATTTTTTTAGTCGCGGCTACGATTAACTGACAATCAGATTAAAGTTAATCATGATTGACTGTAATCGGATTAGATTTAATCGAATTAACTAATTGATTAAAAAATCAGTCGATTAAAGCCAACACTGGTGCGGTCCCCATATGAGTAAAATATTTTTTATTTTTTTGAAATTTAGGCGACGCACTTCTTCATTCGATTTTCTTAAATAATTTTAGGGGTCGCTACCAACATTAGAATTTTATTAAAAAAATGCACAAACTAATTAATAGCGGACTTCCATCAAGCCTTGACTGCAGTTTATGCCGTTTGAAAAACGAAGATTACAACTCGACGGGAGTAATTCCACCTATTAGGTAGAAGCAATCGAAAGGAAAAAAAGCGAAACTTAAGAAAAACCCCGTTTCCAATAACCCCACGTTGGAATTATTTGAATTTTGTAAATCCAATTTTTGGCAGCAAATGTCAGTTACACGGAGTGACGATACTCGGTTTTGTACTTTAAACGATGTTATTTTTCACTGCGGTTTCTTCTTTTTTAGTAAGTTTATAATAATAATAATAATAATAAATAAATTTAATATTAATTATCTATTAATAATAAAAAAAAATAATAATACATTTAATAATAAACGTCGAAAATAACGTGTACCATACATTCTTCACCTGCGAACACTGCTTGAATTCGCGCAGAATGTTGAAAAAAAGATACGGGACATAACTCCGAACAACATAATTGATCTCCAGTGCCTACAAGTGGGAACAAGTTGCTAGATAGGTGAAATTCGTACTCCGCTGCAAACGAGAGGACGGATGTCTACTGAGGACACCTGAATGAGACGCCCCTACAAAAGAGCAGCCCCGACGCTCTAGCAGCGCGCTCCTGCATCTGAAGACATGCATAATTGCGGTGCCAGATGCGGGATTCTCCTGCGGGCGGTGGGAGTTTGGGTTTTAGTGGGTAGCCCAACACGCTTCGGTGAGAGTCCGGCACTCGAGGAAGGTAGTATCAGAGAATGTTAATGTAATGAGAAGGAGCAAATGTTAATGTTAAATTTTTTTTGTACTACTAAATTCTGAAAGGTTTGAGTGCGGGAGTTCACCAAAATAAGTATTTGAGATGCGAGAGTTCACCAAACTTAATTTTTTACCACAGAAAGAGATGAACTTTTTCAGCTTTTTGCACTTGCTCTTGCGACATACCGTTAGGCTAAAAATGAGAATTGGCTATTTTTAGATTTTTTATAAGAAAAGCGGAGAAATGGTAAAAAAATACTTAAAAATGTCATTTGGCGATTTCTATAATTTGTCAAAAGTAGAAATGCGCCAAAATTGTAAAAAAAATGGGTAAGGGGAAAATGAAAGCAAAAATCTTGTAAGCGCGCGGTTGTCGTTTTATGAAAAGTGAGTTTCAAAGTGTTGATTGAATTGTTTTAAGAAAAAGTATGCCAAAAATACGGAAATGTATCGCTCGCGGCTGCCTTTCAGGCGAATGAAAAAGGAACTACTTCCCTTTTCCCAAAAACCGGGAGTTGCAAAATCGCTGGCGAGAGAACCTGCGGATTGGACGAGATGCCCCCCTGGCGCCACAGCATAGCCACGTCTGCAGCGACCACTTTGGAGCTGACGAGGTTGGGGCTAAAAAGCTGAAGAAAGGAGCTGTTCCAACTCTCAACCTGGGTAAGTTCAGGTGGAAATGAATTTATATATGCAGATTTTTTTTGGTGTTAATGAAATAAAGGTGAAGAACTAAGGAGTTGTTCATAATATTCATATGTACGTATGTACATAAACGGGTGCAGTGAAAATTAATGAAAAAAAAAATGCATGC